TCCTTTGACAGCTGTTCTCGGCTCATATGTTATGTCAAATGAAGTTAACTCTATGGCCCACTTTGTCATTCTGCCCGAGAGTTCTAGCTTGTGCATAAGTATTCTGATTGGGAAAGTTGTTAGAACAGCTATAGGGTGGGATTCGAAATAATGCCTCAAGTTTCTTTTTGCGTTTACCAGTGCAAGTATCACCCGTTCGGCCTTCGAGTATTTTCGTTCTGCCTCGGTCATTGTTTTATTGACATAAAATACCGGGTGTTGCACGCCTTCCTTGCAACGAATCAGAACGGCACTTGTCGCAACACTAGATACTCCAAGATACAAAAATAACTTTTCTTCTGGATCCGGGGCTGACAGGACTGGTGGATTCTGCATATATTCCTTCAAATGGGTCAATGCTTGTCGTTGCTCATATCCCCAGACCTGTCTTCCATGACTCCGAATCGTGTCAAAGAACGGCTTGCAGCGGTCTGACAATTTTGAAATGAATCGACTTAATGCAGCTATTCGTCCTGTGAGGGCTTGCACCTCTCTGATCGTCTTTGGCTCGGCATTCTTAATCAAAGCCTCTACTTGAGCGGGGCTAACTTCGATGCCTCTGCGGTTGACCACGTGTCCCAAAAACTGACCGGAACTCACACTGAACGAGCACTTGGTTGGATTGAGCCTCATACCATATCGCCTCAGCACATCAAATATATCTTACAGATGTTTCAGATGATCACTCTTCTTCCTACTCTTTACCACCATATCATCAATATAGGCTTCCACAATCTTTCCTATTTGATCCTTGAAAATTTTGCTAACAAGTCTTTGATAAGTTGCTCCCGCGTTCTTTAGTCCGAAAGGCATAACTTTGTAGCAGTATGTCCCTCGCTCGGTTACAAAAGAAGTTTTTTCTTCATTTGCCGGGTCCATAGGGATCTGATTATAACCTGAATAAGCGTCCAGAAACGTTAAGCGTTCATACCCGGTGGTAGCATCCACCATTTGATCAATCTTTGGCAGCGGGAAACTATCCTTCGGACAGGCTTTGTTCAAATTGGTGAAATCAATGCATACTCGCCATTTCCCATTCTTCTTCTGCACGACAACGACGTTGGACAACCAATCAGGGTAGTGTACTTCTCTGATAAATCCCGCATCAAGCAGCCTATCAACTTCCTCGGCTATGATTTGGTTGCGTTCTGGAGCAAATCTTCGTTGCTTCTGTTTTACTGGTTTGAAATTGGGATTGACATTCAAAGAATGATAGGACACGGAGGGATTAATTCCAGGCATGTCTAGGTGACTCCATGTAAATACATCGGCATTGTGAGACAAGAAGTCAGCTAGCTCTTGCCGCTCTTCCCTGGTCAGTCTTATTCCTACTCTGGTAGTTCGTTCTGGCCTGGACTGATCGATCTGCACATCCAGAAGGGGCTCCTCGGTCAAGTCAACTGACCCCTCCACCCTATCTGCTTGGGCAGAGGTTCCTGTAATTGCTATCTGGGGCTTGCCGGTCGGACGGGCGCCTTCCCTTTCCCAGCATACTTTAGTGTGACGGAATAGCACTCTTTGGCTGCAACCTGATCCCCACGAATATCTATTACCTTATTTCCATCGGGTCCGAGGCACCTCATGACCTGATGCAAAGTTGAGGGTACTCCTTGGACTCTGTGAATCCATCCTCTTCCCATCAGGAGATTGTACGAGGGGTGAATCTCTACAACCACAAAAGTTTCCATAAAAGTTCGTTCTGCAGCTTGAACTTCTACTTCCACCATTCTGACGGGCTCCACCCTCTTGCCATCGAATCCTAACAAGGGATTTCCAGTGGGCTTGAGCCTCTCTGGTTTAATCTCGAGCCGATCAAATGTGTCCCTTGGCATGACATTCGCACTGCTCCCGGGATCGATCAGAACTCTACGCACCAAGCAGTCTGCCACTGTCAAACTGACTACCAACGGGTCTTCATGGGGGATTTGAACACGCTGCAGGTCTGTCCTGTCGAACTTTATTTGTATCGATGTGATCTGCTGGTGTAGAGTATTCACACTGCTGACCCTTTTCTTCATCTGCGCGTGCCGTAGGCGCGCTCGGAGCAGCTCATCTGAATCTTCGCTGGGCTCGGGTCGACCGTGGATAGCATTGATTATACGAACTGGTTGTGAATTGTGGGAGCTTTGTTTATGGCTCCTTTTTACTTGTTCCATCGGTTGATTCTGCTCTGTTGCCGAGCCTTGAACATAACTCGCGAACTCCCCTCTAGCTATCAACATCTCCACTTGCCTTCTCAAATTCCTGCATTCATTAGTCTGATGACCGAAATCGGAATGGAAAGCACAATGTTTAGTCTGATCCCTCTGTTCGAGGGGTTGCCTAATTGGCAGTGGTGGATGAAACTTATCTTTGTTCTCCTGATATAGCCTCGCCAGGGTGACCTTCAGCGGAGTGATCAGCTCTTCCTCCCTGGACCTCTTTTCTGCCTTCCAGGAGGTCTGACGCTGCGGCTGAGCCTGCTTCTGCCTGATCTTTGCCTTGGACTTCTCCTCGGTCGACACGAGCGACGCTGTCCGAGCATTGGCTGCCTCCTCTTCTTCTAGGCGCACAAAGCCGTCGGCTCTTTCATTGAGTTCATCCATAGTCGTCGGCATGTTCACTACCAGACTGGTATGGAACGGAGTGCCACGTGTCATGGCTAACTTGAAGGCTTGAACCGCTGTAGAAGGGTGGCATTCGATCACCATACTCTTAGTGAGATTAAACCTGGTGAGAAAAGCCTGGAGACGTTCATCTTTGTGCTGTCTCATTGTGAATAGGCTTGAGATGTCCTTTGGCGGACGCTTGTTCCCATAGTACTGACTTATGAACCGATCGCACAGATCTCGGAGGCTACCAATGGAGCTCTTAGGCAAGTTCTTGAACCAGCTGAGCGCCGGTCCAGCTAGGCTTGTAGGGAAACATTTGTACATTAAAGCATCGTTTTCCATATTCAGGGCCATCTTCAACTGGATATGGTACACATGATCGATCGGATCGGTTGTTCCGTCAAACAGAATAAATACTGGCATAGCAAACTTCCTTGGATGAGGGGCATTCAGGATCTCGTTAGTGAATGGTGAATCAACCGTTCGAGCTGCGGATCGGAGCGCTTCATTCTCTCTTTGGCGCCCAGTGGTAGCTCTGTGGGCTACGGTTCTGCTCTCCGAACCGCGATGAATGATTGTAGCCATGGAAGGCCGGTAGGACGGATCGAATGACCGTTCCTCTATGAGCTCTCTTTGCCAAGGCGACGCAACTTGGCGGCGATCAACCTCTATCACCTCTTCTCGGTTGAACCTTTCCCGATGTGGATCTAAGGTCATGGCTTCATTCTGTCTGATCTGCTCATGTCGCGGATCAACGTGAGTCGATCCTTCGTGATCCTCAGCTCGACGAGCATTTGGCGGCAAATCACGGTGGAGAGCTGACTGACTGTTCTCGTCCTGCTCGCCTTGATGCGCGATATTAGATTGAACACCTCCTTCTCCGGCCGGAGGTGGACGCGAAACCGCGGGCATTTGCTTATGTTGCATTCCAGCTTTCAATTCTGCATTCTCTTTTTTGAGAGCCTCGATCAAGTTCATCAACTCCTCAAGCTTTGTTTGCTGGACAGCCTCCATCGGATTGGAGCTTTCACCTATTATTATTCCTGAACGGAATAAAGGCATTAATCTCAAGTTCGCGAGTAGATCCGAGCTTCGTGAGTGGGAATTTTTCAGATCTGGTTTCGAATTCTCCGAATTATGCTCACGGTTGACGAGATCTGAATTGTCCGAATTCTAAATCCGTCAGATCCTGCCACAATCGAACAACTCGTTGTTGCGTAGATCTGAAGCCACTTCTGCCAAAGCTTCAGGAACTAAAATTCCTCCAGAGTAGGTCACAATCGCTCAGATTTGGATCCAACTCCCAAAGATCGAGTCTCGATCCACCGAATTGATCTGAATCCACGCGATATTCATCATTGATCAACCAATCTTCCATGCGTTTCCCACAGACGGCGCCAATTGAAGATACAAGAAATTCCTTCACTCTTTCTCTCTCTAGAATTCCTGTATTTCAACCAAAAAATATCTCCCTTTTTCTTTCCATTACTTCTCCTATTTATAGAGATTTACAAATGTTGATGGACTGCTGGATCTAGGCCCGTTCCTCCATGAGTCCCGGTCCTCTTTGATGTGCTTATGCGCGTTCGGCCCATATGGCAGTGTCTTTCTATGGGCCTGACCCATCTGTACGGACTGAATGTCGCGTTTGCAAGTCATATCCGGCCCATGTCATCTCGGGCCTCCTCAAACTACATTAGATCGTTAGTTTTACTACGGACCTTATGGAGGCATAAAATGCCCTCAATCTGGAAATCCAAATTCCAAATGAGTATAGATTAATCATCTCTTTGCTTTAGCATTGCACCAAGTCATCAGTAAAAAATGAAAATAGCTTTATTGATGACTTTATGCACAAAAAGTAACAACTTGTATTTTTTTTTTTTTTTTTGAAAGTTAACTTGTAATTTTCTTGCTATAAGTTAATTTAACACTTCAATTGCAACAATATTACAACTTCCCACAAAGGCCTAGGTGATGTTTATGATGTCTAATTAATATCCACCATTGTCGTTTGGATTGAATAGTTTGATTTGTTGGCGTAGTTTAATTGAAGAGAAAAGAAAGGATTATGAGAGAACTATCCCTTCAAATCATAATATATTTTTCAAAAAATGAGAAAATTTGAAAAAAAAAAGATAATGGTTCTGTAATACAAGTCATATTCAGAAAATTATCCTCAACAATTAAAAAATAATAATTTATTATGACAATTGAGTCATCTTATAAAATGATAAATAATAATTTAATTGTTATAATCTTTTTTTTCCCTCTGATTGACCCTTTCCAAACAAAAATATTAGAAGGTATAATTTCATTTCTTTCTTATAGCAGTCACATAATCCATATCAATAGATGTACACTCTCAAGCACTCTCGCTTGGAGTAATTTTACTGCTATTCCGCTCGTGCCCTGACTTAAACTCGTAACTATATCCATTCTTTCTTTTTCATTCAAACGAAAGCCTTAGATAATACCTCCATTACATTTAGGACCAGCTCCTTGCGTAACACGCCGACCCAGCACAATCTATAAATCCGTACCAATCTTCTCCATCTTTCTCGCACTGATGCTGTCCAGACCTCCCAAATAGTGAACAGTGGACATTTCTTCTCTCATATATACACACACAATTCAAATACATACACACACACACATATATATATATACACAAAAGCAATTTTGTCGAATGTTGCCGATAAACCCTAGCTCAATCTTCTCCCCCACTAGACCCACATTCCTCTCTTTCCCCGCCCTCTCTCCTCCCTCCACCACCGTCGTCCGCTGCCGCGCCGTCGACCCCTCCGTGGTGGGTCCCTCATTTCCGCGGTGGTTGTTCAATTTTCCGGTGGCCGTCGACGCCTCTGTTAGCGCCCGGACCAGCCACGACTCGGACGGTGTCGCCGCGGAGAGGCGAACTGCTATTAACAAGAACACGAAGGTCAATGCGAGAGAAAAGCGTTGGTCACGTGACAGAGAGAGCTACTTGGCCGACGACGACGATGCTCTTCCTCTTCCCATGACGTATCCTGACACGTCGCCGGTGGCGCCCGAAGAAATCGATCATCGACTCCGTTGCGATCCCATACTTGAGGTTTGATTTCTGTTTCGAATTCGTTACCATCTGTTTGGGTGCTGAGAAAGTGTAGGAAAAGAAAATTAAATTAAAAATTAGAATGTCGGATTTTTAGTGGCAGAGTTCACTGAGATTGTTGCAACATGTAAAATGTATTAATTCAAATTTGGACAGTATCACCTTAAGTGTTGGAACTGGAGATAAACTTGATTTTTACTAGCCCACCTAAAAGCTACAAGTGGCGAAAATTTTGGGATTATCGGTAATTTTGGGCGACTTGATTTTAATAAGCTAATTCGTTCTACATATTTATAAGTGGAAAAGGGTAAACTATGATGTTCAAACTAGCAAGTCCATTGCCACTTATGATGATGATGATGCTTAATTCTAAAAGGTAAATTGCTCTAGTAGTAGGTTTTGCAGCATAATGTTTCACATTTCTAACTTTGATTAGATTATGTTCTATACAGTTCTTTTCACTATGTTAGGGGGCTAAGCCTCAATATGTGAGCACCTACTGGTCAGAATTTATTATTATTATTATTATTATTATTATTATTTTTTAATTATGTTTATTTTTGGAGTTGTAGGATTGCAAGGAAGTGGTTTATGAATGGACTGGAAAGTGTCGGAGTTGCCAAGGGTCGGGATTTGTTAGTTATTACAATAAAAGGGGGAAAGAAACAATTTGCAAATGCATACCCTGCGTTGGAATTGGTATGTTTCTTCTTATTCACAAGAACTTGTTTATTTTTGGCCTGCAATTTGTATTGTTAAAAATGAATATCCTGTCTTGCTATTTTCCAAGCATATGCCCATATCTAGTATGAACAATGTACCCATGATCGGTGTGACATCCATTTGTCACTGTGAATTCCATATGTTATAGGCTCATAGCTGATAATTTTAACTTGCATCTAGTTTAGGAAGGAAACCAAACTTCTTGAAATATTTAGAAATAACATGGAAAGGATTTTTAGGCAAAGCACAAGAAATGGGCTAAAGAAGAGCCTAGAGACTTGAGAGAGGTAGGGAGTGCAATTTTTAAATATGTTTGAGAAAACTAAGTTGTGTTTTTTCGTGTTTGAATAGAGCAAACTAAAGAAACTTTTGAGAAAGCGATTCTTCAATTCGAGATAAAAGGTGTTCATTTTTTAAAATGGGATTTTTTTTTTTTTTTTTTTTGCTCTCTGGAGCAGGTGTTCATTTTTAAGAATTAAATGTCTTTGCTGTTCGAGGGGATCACCCGTCTTTAATGCAAGAAATTCTTGTTGGCTTCTGCCTTCCTGTTTAGTTTAGCTTCCTTTTGTTTTTACATGTTGCTTTTTATTCATTTTTTTGTCCATTTTCCCTTTCTTCCGGCTTCTCCTTTCTTTAAGGAGACCTCCTCATACTTCTTATTCATTGTTTAGTAAAGTTTCTCTTGTCAAAGATAAATAAATAGATAAGCATTGATCTTATCATGCGTGCGATGTTCTATTAGCTAATTCCCTTTCAGATAAATGCATTTTGTGCACTCAAAATATTTACTCTCTCTTTTTATTTTAAACAAGAATATAAACCTACGAAAGGAAAATAAAAAATATAAATGTTTCTTGCTGCTCTTGATTGAAAAAGTTTTTTTTTTTTTTTTTCATTCAATATTTGTTGCTTTGCCAACTTTTGAAATAGATTAGGATTTTCTATAAGAGAGGGCAAAACTTGACGCAATGGTAAGTTGCTCTTTGTGTCCTGGAGGTCACAGGTGTGAATCAGGAAACAGCTCTTCCATATGCGGAAGTAAGGCTACGTATATCTTACCACCCTCAGAGGCTCAGACCCCGCAAGGGCAGGAGCCTCGTGTACTAGGCTAGCCCCCTTTTATAAGGATTTTCTACAAGAAACCAAGTAGAGAATGAGAAGAAAGAAGAGTCTGCAATGAAGAGGGATGTGAGATCCTTCAAAAGACACCATATAAAGTTATATACAATGATGCCGCAAAAGTGACCCCTATAAGGAGAATGAAGCAAATCCACTTTTGGAAGGAAAGAAACTCTGCGTTCTCATTGGTTGACCTTGGGACTTGAGAAACGTCCGTCTCTTAAAGAGTCATGCAAGCTCAAGATCTCCTTCATAACCCCGGCTAAATATCATGACCCAATAGATTACTAACTCATGTCACCATCACATCTGAATTTCCCTTGACTATGCTATGATTCAAAATCATGGATGAATCTTCCCTTAAACGTTACATATATTATGGATCTTTGCCTCAACAGCAAAGCCTGTACCAACCGCTGTAGCATAGATAAGGGCTATATTCCTAGCATCATTTCTGAAGATGCTCCCAGTTCCTAACAGTTTGAGTTGCTAAGAGAGCACCTATTGAAATTAAGCTTGACTTTTTCCTTGGGGCAGTGGCCTTTGAACTTTTATGAACAGCTTTCAAAAACAAGCTACTTGAACTTAAAGCTCTTCAATACCCAAAATCAAGGATAGAGGCACTCCTTTGAGTTCTTTTGCAAATAAAGTCCAACAAGAAGACAAAAACTAAACTCTTCCCCGCACATCCTTGAGCAAGGAATCTAGAATGCCTCCTGTTCCATAGAGCCCAAATCGTAGCCATGGTAGCACATTGCCATCAGGTTTTAGCTCTGTCCTCCTCCTGAAGTCTTCAAAGGATATCGCAGTTAATGAGGGAACATCTATGTAAGCAGCCCAACTAATACGTGCAAAGTTATTGATACTGTGGTTTTATTAAATTTATTAAACCCTTGCCAGGGACTAAACTTTCTAATTTTTTTTTTTTGTTATTTTGAAGATCCATCAGTAGTAGCGGTAATTTAGTTTCACACCCTCACATGGCAAAACATTATGGCTTTGATAGATGAAGTTGATTTGGCTTCTATTCAACTCACTTCAGTACTCTTCTTTCATGTAGTATGTTGTTGCTATTGCAATTTGTAAGGTCAAAATTCATTACAAAACAAGTATCCCCGTCTCTTATAAACTTTTGAACTGCTTTCCTATTGTAATTTTACCGTTCTTTTATTACCATTTTACCTTGTACCTCCTAGATCCTAGACATAGTCTCTATTAGTAGGAACTTCTAAATTTGGTTTGTCAGTCTTACCTTAGCTTTTTTTTAATGCTTCCTCTTTTCTTAGTTGAGAACCATAGACATAGGTAATGCTAGTAATTTCCTTCGCATTTTAACCCTTTCAATGGAAGGCACCCATATCAAGGTTAGGGGTGCGGTAGGGATTCCCTTGCCTAAACTCTAAGCTTGCACTTAATGTAGTAGTAGCTAGGAATGTTGTTGCCTTGACCAGAAATACAAGATGACAACAGCTCCAACACTTGGCTTTATCCACTCTGAATATATGGGCAGACATCTTTAACAATTTTAAGAAAGAGAAACAATGATTTTTCATTGATATATAGTTGAATCTCATCAAATTATGTTCCGCGTAAATATGAACTATAATCACTTTTCAAGCTAGTCATTGGTTTATTTAATGCCACCATTCATAAAGCATATGAGCTTGAAGTGTCTTGAATCTAAAGACCTTTGTTTAATGCACCATTTATTTCTCACCTCGCTTTCTATCCCCAAATCTACATTTGAGCTTGAAGTGTCTTGAACTTGAGTCACTTATTTCAATTGACATTTGTAATTTCTTTTAACTTTCTCTAGACCATCAAGAAATCTTTATAACAGATTTTTATTTTTCTAGTCACATGAACCCGGGCTTTCAAGGTCTCCAATGTGATGTGTTAAATGCCCGTGCCCATGCACCTATGTCTACATGGTCTTGGTAGACCATCCTTGCGGATTGCAGGGTTGGTTTCCTTTTGAAAAGAGATTTTAGATACTAATTTTTACCAGAGGCAAGGGCCATGGTGGTAACTCAACTTGATTAGAAGCAATGTGACTAAAGTGAAGTACATGTATTTAAGTAGTGATCTGAAGGAAGAATTTACCAGAAGAAATATTGATCTGTAGGAATATTAGAGGTTCTACTTTCTCAATATGGTTGAGTCATCGTTCAAGTTTATTTTTGAAGCTTTTAGATTCTTGAGGCCTTGCCTTATTGGGCGTTTTGCAAGTTAGAGTTGGATTAGTTATTCTATTGACATATTACTGAAATTAGAGTTTAAGTTCAGATGCCTAGCATAACATTTTCATAATTCGTTGTTAATTTGTTACAATCAATTTTCTAAACTTGATCCTTAGGTTAAGCATTCACCCAGCTATGCTTGATAGCATGTGAAAGTTTAAGAGCAAAGTTTTGACAGTTTGATATGGGTTCCTTTGAGATTGATTGAAGTTCTAAAACAAGATGTTAATGTTGGAACTTGTTGAGTGTCTTACTATAGTATTGCAATGATAAGGCTTTATTGACTTCTGCTGAGTCATTTAGGGAGCTTCTAGCAGATATTTGAACTTGTTGGATGTTGATCTAGATCCATTCCAAAAAAATTGCAGATTTGGTAGGATTATTGTTGTTCAATATAGTACCATGCAAATCCATAATAGATAACTACTCATAAAATAAAACAGCTCTCATCCCATGGATGCTCGTGTTTTTCTTCCACTAGGTAATTGGGGTGTTTGGGGTCTTTTTTCCCGGGCTCTTCTGAACTGAGTGAGATCAATTTTCTTTTGGCTCACATGCCATCTGATTAAGCAACTAATATGAACATATTTGTGCCAATTTCTTCTTTCCTTCTGGTCAAGATGTGGATTCCTAACTCTCCATTATCGAATGTAATTCTTTTTTTTTTTTTTTTTTTTTTAATTGTACGAGGATTCAACCATATCTGTATTGTGCTTCCTTTCACTTGAGGATTCAGAAGTTTAGTTTAGAACATCAATATCTAAGTGGCGTTCTTATCATTGCAGGTTATGTACAGAAGATAACGGCACGCAAGGACATTGAGGTGATGGAGGATTTGGAAAATGGAAAACCACCTTGACCTAAATAAATATAGAATTTTTTTTTTCTCCCAACTTGGATTTTTGTTTTGGTGATAACTTTGATGAGCTTATCTGCTTAATAGTCCATCAACATTATTGTAATTTTTAAGTTACCTTCATCCTCAAGTTCCAAATTTTGTCAAACTCACATGAAAATTAATGTTAGATACATTTGTTGACGGCGAACTGTAAGTAGGGTAACTTCCTGAAAAGGTATGCTGGAGGACAGAATCAAGGAATTTGTTTGCAACTTTCGTAAAGAATCAAGGAATTCATACTTTTCATATGTTTCTTTTCATTTTGCCAACACTCTCTTCTTTTTATTATTCTTCTTTCTTCTTCTTATCCTATCTCTATTGAATGGGAATCTTTTGTTTTATCACGCACGTCGTTAAGGAATAAAATTGATTGCTTACAAAAAGAAAAGAGAGAGTACTTTGCTTTACCCTGCTGACTTTAGCATCAAAATATATATTTTATGTTTCTCAACCAGGATATGAAGATGTCTGTGTCTTCCATTCCAACAATAAAGAGGGGTGTACTTTGAGATCTCATTTCACTTGGAGCTTTTACTCTCATTGTTCAGAACTCTTAGCAGAAAATGTCGAGTTTTCTTGATTTCCAGTACAACCTTTCGAAAAGGAAATTCTTGCGGAAGCCAACCCGAATGTTTTCCAGACAAGAATCCGGCTTGTTGCCTGTCTACCAGCTGGATAATGAGGAGATTAAGCGGGTGTTTGATAAATTTGATTCGAACAAAGATGGGAAGATTTCTAAAGAGGAGTACACGGTCATACTGAAAGCACTTGAAAAGGAAAGCACGAGCAGAGAGGTTGACAAGATATTCGAGGTTGCCGATCTGGACAGGGATGGGTTTATTGATTTCAAAGAGTTTCTGGTAGTGCAGAATAAGGGAGGTGGGGTGAAGAAAATGGACGTGCAGAGTGCCTTTCGGACATTTGATTCAGATGGCGACGGGAAAATAAGCGCCGAGGAAGTGCATGAGTTGTTGAGGCGGCTTGGGGAGAAGTGCACCCTATCCGACTGTCGGAAAATGGTGAGTGCGGTGGATGCCAATGGCGATGGTGTGATTGACATGGATGAGTTCATGACAATGATGACTCGCAACATGAAGCTTTGCTAACGTTCAACCACAGTTGCTTCTCTTCCAAAACCACCTTGTATGATATATATATTGATTGCCTAGGGAAAAAATGCAGCGATGCTGTGACTTTGTACCATAAGTAGAAAAATCTAATGAATATCATCTCTGTAATTATGTAGCAAAGGGACAAAATCCCCCGCTCTTCGGGGATGCCCTTAGCATTGAGGAACATGTACTAGGGTGTATGTGCGACTTGTTCATATCATGGGCTGGTTTAGATCGATCCTAACCGGATGATTATAGAATATTAAACCCGGCAAGAAAATCAAATCTTAAATCGCGGATTTGTGTGAAATCCGTGCTATTTTCATTCAACCGCTACAAGATCAACGATTCCATAAGCTTCGGCTTCTTTTGCTGACATAAAAACATCCCTCTCCATGTCTTCAGAAACAACCCATAAGGGTTTGCCCGTTCTTTGTACATAAACCCTTGTGAGGGTTTCGCGCAGTTTCAGCAGTTCTTCTGCTTCCAGGATAAATTCTCCCGTTTGTGCCTCATAATAAGCACTCGCAGGTTGATGGATCATTACCCTAATGATATAATATAATAAAAGGTTCCTCTATCTCGCAGAGAAAAGAAAGAAAGATAAAGAATAACAAGAAAAAAAAAAAGATAGAATTGAACAATCGTACGGGCATCTTTTGCGCATTGCATACGGCTTTACAATATAGAATTGACCCTTACCCTCCATCGAAAAAAGATAAAAAAAATCGGATCTATCAGATCTAGATCGGTAAATGATCAAATTACCACCCTTTTTTTCGGAGAAGTTAAAAAATACTATGATGGTTCCGTTGCTTTATATATTTATAATTATTATTTTGTCTTTGATTTGTCTGTGATTCAGCAATCCCAAAGTTTCTTTTTGATCTGATCAAATAAAATAAGGAAAAAAGACTCTTCTTTTTTTTTTTTTTTTTTTTCGCACTCTTTCATAACATAAGTATTGTTAAGAGCCTTCCAGTGTGAAAACAAAAAAGTTTGTGACGCTGAACTGGACTCCCGATAGATAAGATAAAATCAGAAATACTCTTTATCTCATACTACTCTCTCGATACATAATCTAATGTTTTGAAAAAATAATAGAAATTTTTTCTCATATCGAATTCGAAGTGCCATGCTATTATTACTTAATATTCATATTTCATATGGCGAAGGCATAGTCTTCTTTTTTCTCTCAAATAAAAACAAAACTCATTGGCGCCAAGCGTGAGGGAATGCTAGACGTTTGGTAATTTCTCCCCCGACCAAGATAAAAGATCCCATTGAAGCAACCATTCCCATGCATATTGTATGTACATCTGGTTGCACAAATTGCATAGTATCAAAAATAGCTATTCCAGGTATTACCCATCCGCCAGGAGAGTTTATAAACAAATACAGATCTTTGGTATCATCCTCGATACTGAGATATACCATAAGACCAATAAGTTGATTCGAGATCTCGCTATCAACCTCTCGATAAAGTCAGTTGAGTAGGGCAAAATTCTATCCCTTAGGAACCGTACATGCACCTTTTGACGCATACGGTTCAAAAAAATTGCTAAAAAAACAAATTAATGTGTAGATTCCGGTCCTTTTTCTTTTTTCATAGTGGGTTCTTTTTCACTTCTTCCGAAAGGGCTTCTTTTTCTTTTATTTTTCGATAAAGATGGGTTTTTGTTCCTTTCCTTATAATATAAAAAAGAATTCACTAAACTTATCGAATTAACTTCTCATTGATGTATTATTTCATCGAAATCCAATCCAAATCGCGATGTCATTTTCTTGTTCCCGAATGGGCCTCTTCAATCTTTTTAGGTTTATGATCTACTACGGGTCAAGATCCGCCCGACTTCTATTTGTACATATAGGACAAATGTTCCCACTACCACTTCTTTTTGCCATGACTCCCCTTTTTTTTCAATTCATTTCATGCTTTCCGCCAAACATTTTATGTGTTTCTCTATATTTCATTTCTCGACTGATTAAGAGTTTGAGATCACTTCTCTTTATAAATAGGAATCCTTTATGATCCAAGTAGTAATCATAAATATATTACCAACTGGGTTTTTTCTAAACGGAGCCTGGATATTTCATTTTATTGGTCCAACCATAAATTATTCTAATTGATAATAGTAATCTGAATCCCTCAAAAATACGCTTCACGCTCCAACTTTTTGATGATTCAATTAATCTTTCTTGGGCGAAACAGAGGATATCTCAATCGGGGGAGAGAATGGGGAAATTCCATATGGCCCAATATATCTGGCAAGTCGCGTTATACGTCAACCCAAGATGCGTCTTCCTCTCCAGGACTTCGAAAAGGTACTTTTGGAACACCAATAGGCATTAAATGAAAGAAAAAAGAACTAAGTACTATATTTCACTTTGATGTGGAAACGTAACAATTTGTTTATTGTCT